GACTGGCACTTTCCTGTGTCTGCATCTCTGTCAGCAAAGTGTTTAACCGTAATGTAAACCCTGCCTGGTGTCATTTGAGCTTGATTTGCATTATCACAGCCAGCAACGCTTTCATCCTCTCTTTTTATTCTTCTTGAGGGTTCCCCCTTTATAGTTATTATACCTAGTTCATTACTCTAACTGTTTAGCAATCTTGATGCAGACACCTGGGTTTGTAATGTTCTACTTCCTTTATTGTTTGTCACTCAAACAGGTGTAACTGATTCTTTACACCTTCTGAGTCATGAACCATTTCTCTTTTCTCTCTGTCCTTCTGTGTGAATTCCTTCAGCTTGGATCCTTTGCTGCTAAGGCAAACATTTGTTTTTCTTTTTTCTCTTTCTCCCTCCCCCTATTCTCTTCTCCTCATTTTCAAGTGTGTCATGATCGATTTCTAGCATGTCGGTAAGGTTCAGCCGCGAGGAGGGGGGCTCTAGTTCAATGGGATTTGAGTTATATTTATAACTGCAGAGGAGAGATACTGTTTGGCAACATTTATATACACACATAGAAGGTCCAGATGTTGTGTCCTCTGGCTGCCTCGGGGTGTTAGTGGTAATGTAGCTCTCTAACGGCTGTGTTACGCTTCCTTAAGCTGAAACACTGTTTATTGGGAAAAGGTGAGCGGAGGCCCAGCACAAACCCCTAATCCTCAATTGCACTTGTATCGCTCCAGCTTCCAAGCCCCGATGACAACTTCGTTAAAAGGCTCAAAACTGCACATGCCTTCAACTCTGGGTGAAGGATGACATCACGACGGTATGATCTATGGAGCATGTGCCGTGTAGGACGTCAGGCTGCTTTATTTGCCTTCAGTCCTGGAGCTGGTAGGCTCAGGCAGCGTAGTGAAGGCCTGAGGGATGCTGTAATGGCAAAACTAAGCCTTTTTACTCCATAGCCGGTTCACAGAAAGGTGATATATTTTCAAAGTGTTTAAAATTTGATCCTCTGAAGGAGAAATTTGTCCTCTTGTTCTCCCCACTTCATCAATAGGTCTAAAGGCAGGACATCAATGGGTGCATTTTGAAGCTTCTCATAAATTCTAATTGCCTTTTTTAGCCATGCTAGTGGCATGGCTCAAGGGATGACAATGTTGGTCTGTTAGTCCACCACTTTGGTATAGACCGAAATATCTCATCAACTATTGGATTAATTGCCATGACATTTTGTACAGACATTTAAGGTGCCCAGAATCTGGTGATCCCCTGCCACCAGCAGGCTGACATGTCTTGACATCTGTTGGATGAATTGCCATGAAATATGGTGGTGCAGATATCCATGGTGCTCAGAGGATTAAGCATGATTCCTTAACTTTTTGTTGAGTTTATAGTTGAGGTTTGAAATATCTCAACAACTATTGGACAGATTGTCATGAAATGTGCTACAGACATTTATGTTCCCCTGAGAATGAATTCTAATGACTTTGGTGACAGATTTGTGTCTTTATGTCTAATTTCAGATCGATCAACTATGCTAACTTGTTCATAATAAAGTACGATAGCTGGAATAAAGTTAGACACATATTTTCTGAACTCACCCGGTAGTTCAACTTTCTCACTTTCTTTACTCCAAGCAATGTCCAGTATTGTCAGGTTTTTTATATAAATATGAAGTCGTAGTCCAGCTGAGCTCTGGGTGCCAACCAACGGTAACAGCAACAGTGGAACCGGAAATGCACGGAAGCTTGCTGCTGAGAAGCTCGAGTGAAGATAAATCAATGCTGTAATCACAAAAACTGACGTAAAAAGCTAATTTCATAAAAGCAGCTAACTCTGAGTTCCTCCTGCAGGTAAACGCAGCGCTGCTCCCGGCTCTTTCTTCTACACTTCCCTGTACTTTAGCAGCTCTCTGTCTGTCTGGATTCACTTTCAGTGTGAACACAGCACCTGTGATCTGGTGAACACACTCATCTGGTGCTCAGCAGTAGATCAGCATGACTGAATATGGCAAGAAAAGTGATGATGCAGAATATGTGCTGTTTACTCTTGCATGTCACAATTAGAATCTCATGCTGTTAGCCAGAAATATGACTCAGACACCATATGTGGCTCCTAAAAGCAGTTCCAGCGTTAACCAGACCCTGAACTCAACTTGTTCCTAGTTTGGTCAGAGTGCCATCTCTGCATTGTCTTGCCCCTGGAAGGAAATCAGCCAGTGGTGCCAGTAATAAACAGCCATATGGCAATTAATTCTCTCTGTGTGTTTATAACACGCTGGTTTTAGCCTCTCTCCTTCCTTTGCTCTTTTCTGATCTATTGCTTTTTTGGAGGTCTTAGTTTACTCTGGACCTCTCCTGTACGTCTGGGGTATTTTTCAACTGACTCCTTTGCAAGGACTTATCTAGGCAAATATGAGTTCAGATACCTGCATGAGGCATACGGGCTGACTGCGGGCTGAATAATGATCTCCAGTCACGACTTAAGTGTTTATTCAACCCAGGACTTATTATCAACTCTGTCAGTGCTTTGGTAGTGTAACTTTAGAAATGTGTTTGAAAGCCTGGTCAGTAGAGTGTTTTCTAATCCCTTTTAGTGGATAAAGCTATTTGGGAGCACACCAGGAGCCAGAAAACATCTGTATTGCATACAGATGGTGTCAGATAAAACACTGGTATGGACAAAGACACATCATCCCTGAGAGAGGTGCACAAGTACACATCTGCACATTTCCCTTTAAAAATTGTTATTTGATGTCGGCATGTGCTCTCAACATATGTAACAATGTCAAGTCCCCTTATAGCTGTGAACAATAAATTTTGTTTGAACCACCAGTGTGGCCTATAAGCACACGTTCAACTGACTGCTTGTGATTTATAGTTTGTTCCACTTCACTGACAGGGATGGTTCCAGCACACGAGTCTTGGCCGAAAAAGTCAAACATTTTGGGAAAAAATCTTGTTTTTTTTTTAAACCTTCCAACTCAACATTTTGATTTATATCAATTTAATTTTATGTATCCAGTAAAGAGAGGTATGTGGTACCTTGCCTTGCATAGCTTAAAGAATAGGCTTATTTGCTTTTTTTCCTGAAAGTTAGATAAGAAGATTGATACCACTGTCATATCTGTTTGTTGTGTATGGAGAAAGAGCCAGTAGGTGATTAACTTAGCTTAACATGAAGACTGGAAGCAGGGGAAACATCTTGTCTGACTCTCTCCAAAGTTCAAAAATCCGCCTACCAACGTCTCTAAAGCTCACTAATATAAATGTTGTGTCTTGTTTTACAAACAGAAATCTAAAAATCAAGGTGGAAGGATAAACTGCTGTTTGTCTGCTGCTGAGTCACTGCCCCGAGTGGCTGCTGATCAAGAAATTAATCACCCTAAAATAACTGCCTCATTTCTAAATATCTGTCTTTTAAACATTGATGCTAACAAGATGCAATTACAGCCCTCTCATGGGCAAGGGAGTGAACTGTTTTTTTTTTTAAATACCTTTTCATTGAAATCAATAAAACAAACTTCAGTTCCATAGACTAAAATTGACCCCCCTATCCTCATTGTTCTTCTGTCCCCAGAACTCCTGCTTCACCTGGAGCAAACTAACATAGTGTGTCATTTATTGTCCACATGTACTGGACTAAGAAGCACCCTGCAGAGGATTTGTGAAGAGCAAGCATCAATGAAATGTTTTCTTTAGACTGTTAAAGAAATTTAAATGACCAGACCCTTTATGTCTCCCTGTCAGCAGTCTCAAACCACCAGGCCAGGCATGTGGCGAGAGTGATGTCAGAAGGCAGAGAAAGAAGTGGGGTTTGAGTTAGATGATAGATGTGTGCGTCCCTTTATGTGCACATGTGCTTCTCAAACTCGATTTAATATTTCTGTGTTCATCCCTAATTGTCCAACTGTCAGCTTCAAGTGCCCCTTGGACACAAACATAGTTCATGGAGGTTGTGCAGTGCAGAGCCCTGTTACCCTGTAACCTACCCGGTGGTCAGGAGTGCAGCATAGCAACAAGTTCTCCCCATTTGTTTTTTTACAATTTTTTATCTGTGGCAGTTTAACAGTGACACAAGAATGAGGCGGTACACTCTACAGAGAGGTTGTGAGGGTTAAGCCTTAGAAAATAAGCCTCTGTATTCTTGCTATACACATAACTTCCAGACATGCTCCTCAGGGTTAGTATGGCCATAAAAATGACAACAGTAATTGGGGAGACACAGTGGACTGAGGGGCTAAAGGCTCCTGTTCCATGGAAACCTCATTGCTATCCTTCATGCCTGAAAGCTCAGTGTTACTCTTTGTCGGCTTTGAGATGTTACAACTAGTTGGGACCTGACAGATAAGCTCTAAATAGCATGGTGTTGGGTCTTTTTAAAGCCCTGGTTACTTAGGAACCACACTTTTAATAGTTGATTGTGTCTTTTGTCCTCACCTTCACAATTACAGTACATATGTGGCTTGATTCAATAGCAGCACAGTGTTGAGTACACTGTGTATACAAAATCCAGCACAGTGTACTCACTTACATGCCCCCTTCCACTTGCCTCTATCTCTCTTTTGCATTTGTACTTGAAGACCTCCCATCAAAACCCAGCATGGCAGTGCTGTTTTGACACATATTCTGCATGGAAACGTAACAAAGTCTCTGTACTGTGAACACACAGAAGCAGTGTCACAGTTTGGTAATATAAGCTGTGCTCGGAGCAGAAGTCACATTGTCCGCTACATCAATAACAATAACAAGCACTCCTTTTAAGTCCTGTTCGGTCCAGCCACAGTCATCTGTCAGAGGCACAGGGTAACAGTCCTGTCTGTCTCTGTCACATTACTCTTCCTCGCAAATCATTCACTCATCACCCCCTTGTTATCTTGAACTATACCTCAACATTATGTTTAAAGTTTGGGTTCATCATAATGACACTGACTTAAAGAAGTCAGGATCAAGTATCCAAGTAAGGTGTATAAAATTTGTCTTATTTTGTCGTCCGATTGAAAACATTGCGTTGTTTGTCCCACAGAGTGCCAAGAGCCTTCAGAGCAACAAGGATTCAAGGATCCTGTGGGCCAAAGACGACCTTTTACTCACCACCGGCTTTGATATGGTGAGAAACTATAGCTATATCAATTGACCAGGAGTCTGTGTTGGGGTTTGACCTGTATGAGTTTTTGAGGAATGACACAGATTGCAGTATCTTGGAACTGAAGTTGGTTTTGCCAATATTTATTGTTAAATGTGAATATTATGTTATAACAAGACTGCAATAAAATGGCAATTCCTTTTTCAATTAAATATGGCTCGCATACACAGCCGATTAAATAAAATTGATCAACATCAGCTTGTTAATGATCACATTTGAGGCAAGACAGTAAATACTAATTAATGTTTTTAAAGAGCAATGCAAATATTTTAACATGTTTTGGCTATTGAGTTGTTGGTATTAGTTGCTGTCTCTCCATTTGCTGAAAGCCAACAATATTTACTTTCAAAATAGACAAACACCAACATGTGACATTCCAAAAATAACAATCGGGGGCCAGTATAATGAATAACGTATTGGTGTAACCCTTGTGTCTTTGTATTTAGATCTGCTGGTATGGAGCTTTGTGTTTACCTGTGTTTACAGTACTTAACTTCTCATGCTGTTGTGTGTGTAGATGCGTGGTCGGGAGGTGAGGCTCTGGGACAGCAGAAAGCTGAGCTCTTCGCTCAGCTCGGTGTCACTCGGAACTTCAAACAGGTGAGCAAAGCATCAGTGTGCAACCACTGACCCCCATAACTGACACAGTCATGACCATGTTGCATACTTAGCATACAGTATCTGTGTGTGTGTGGATATTTGTGTGTGGCATTCAGAAATATGGAATGATGTATGGAGTGCCTCCGCACATTGTGAAGCTTTCTTGCGGCTGTATGGCTGGACGGGTATGCAGACCTCCCAGAGCTCTGACACCATCTCTCCACATTCCTGCCATTTCCTGGGACAGAGCCACACACAGAGACTCCTATACTCTTTCTCAGTTGACGTGTGTGTGTGTGTGTGTGTGTGTGTGTGTGTGTGTGTGTGTGTGTGTGTGTGTGTGTGTGTTTTGTTTCCCTCTGTCCATGACCACTATGAAGGGTCAGTCAACAGCAGTAGTCACATCGACACTTCTCCCTTCAGCTCACCGCTTGTCATTTCTGCTCCTGACCGTCTCCAGTCGCTTTGTTTATTTTTCCAAACACGGCTGCAGAGGTCCGGAGGAGAGCGGGAGCGTGGCCAGGCTCTACAGAGGAGGGGAATGGAAGGATGGAGGAAAAAAGGGAACAGAGAGGGCGGGAGTAAAGGTTCCTTTGTCAGGTCCAACTCATGCATTTTGGTACTATTATAAACAGGTTGGCTGGTCAAGTCATTCCAAACTAGAGCATACTGGACTTGCAATTCAGCATACTATGTTGGATTAAGTACATTTATTATCACATTTATTATTACTGTAAAAAACACAAAGGTAGCTGTTCAGAGCACTCCGAGGTGTGCGTTTGTGTTGCCTCTCTGTGAAAAGACTATGGCAGCACACACTCCATGTCAGCTCTTTGGCACGGGAGAGTCTGTATCCATGTTTGGTTGCAGCAAGGACCAGAAAGTGACAATTTACAATGTAAATGTATGTAAATAGTATGAACAGTTTTATTTGCCCAAGACTACCATAGGCAAGAGGTCTCTGTGTAATATCATTGATTTTTCCTTCCCTGTGGAATCTGTGTGTGTGTGAGACGTTTAGGAGTCGACACAGCGGGTTCAAAAAAATAATAACCTCCACGCTTCCTCCTCCCTCTGGCTTTGTGCTCACCACTCATCTCCATTTCCCCCGCTTCCTCTTTCATTTGAATGAGACAAATAGTTGCCTGTCTGAGGGCCTCTTTGGAATCCATCACATTGTTCTGTGCCTGCATATTTTTCATGGATATCAAGGATATCTGATGGAAGTGATGGCACCAAAGCAAACATGTTTTTTTTTTTGTGATAGTCATGCTAGATGTATGTAAAAATCCCCACAGGACACTTTGATATAGAGCTAATCAGGAACTGGGTGTCTGCTGAAACCACAGAAGATGGTGTTAATTAGTTAATTTTATTGGAAGGTTTGTCTCCGTGGTGTCTCTGCTCGTAGACAGAGGAATGTTGAAGTTTACTCAGAGTCTGTAGCCGCTGTTTTGTGGGTGTGATGATGGCGCAACTTGAGAAGAGAATGTACCAGGAATGTGAGGATTTTGACCGAATTGTCCTGCTCATCTGGTGACAAGCTGTTACGTGTTCCTGATGCCTTCTTATTCAGCCACTGTCTGGTTTTCTAGGTGTCTGTCCGCACTTTCATAAATCAGCAGAAGAGCAAACCATATTGGATTTATTAAATACATTAGCATTGAATTTGAGTTGGTTTCCTGTATTTTGATATTGGTTAATTTAAAATACTGTGATTTTTGAACATAATTGCTTGGGTGTGTGTAGTATGTCCTGTATTAAATCACTTTAATCATTTGCCTGGGTTGGTGTGTCAGAGAGGTATCACTCTCAAGGCCACATCCCCTCCAGATGCCTGCAGTCCAGCACTGATATAAAGCAGCTACACAATCAAATAACAGATTTTGCCTTTTACTATCATTCTGGCTTTTCCCCTTATTTCTAATTTCTCACATCTTCACATCTTTACACCTCAATCCCCAACTCTAATTTTTCCCCCTAATTTTCTCTGTTGAGCCTGAAGGATCTGATGTTTTTATCTTTCCAACAAAACAGTTATATAGACTTCATGTTTATGAACAGCTTCATATATACAGTACAGTGGAAAAATGCTGTAAAGTCAGAAAGCTTTCAAATGTTACTTACTTATTATCAATTAACAAAATGCTAATCGAATAAAATGAAGAAAAATCAAATCAAGATTTGTTGTGATCCCTTCTAAACAGCATCAATTCTTCTAGGTATACTTGCACATAGTTGCTTTTAACTCGGCAGGTAGGTTGTCCCATATCTTGGAGAACTACCCACAGTTCTTCTGTGGGTTTAGGCAGTTGCTTCTCTTCATGTAATCCCAGACAGATTCGATGTTGAGATCAGGGTGCTGTTTGCCTTCTGCTGCGGCCGAATATTAAAAAGACTCATCAGTCCAGAGCTGCCATTTTTTTCACCCCAGTTCCTGGGTTTTTATGCATAAGTGAGTCACTTGGTCTTGTTTCCATGTCGGAGGGTTTTTTTTTTCGGCACAAGTCTTCCATGAATGCCACTTCTGACGTTTGTGGACAGTTGGGTGTACCAGGGTTCCACTAGTTTCTGTTTTCATTCCAAGTTAATGATTGTGTTTCAACCTACATATTGAATTGGTGATCATTAGCACCAGCTTGGTGTAATTGTTTAATCACATACCTGACGGTATCCCTACAAAATCCCTGACTTTGTGCAAGTATACCTAGAAGAACTGATGCTGTTTTGAAGGCAATCATTATTCGGTGTGACCACCTCACACCGAATATTGATTTGATATAGATTTGTCTTCTATTCTTTCACTTTGTGTTTTGTTAATTTATAAATATAATGTATGAACATGTCTATTTTTGAAAGCATTCTTACTTGACAGTGTTTTTCCACACCTGCCTAAAACATTTGCACAGTACTGTACCATCTCATCCCTCTCCTCACATTTACACTCTTTATCCTTCATCCGCCTCCTTCCAGCTTCTTGCGCTGTTTAAAAGTAGCTGCAGCATCTGAGATTTTGACAAGCAGCTATAACAGGCCGAGACTCCATTCTTGTCTGTTAATAATCTCCACAGTGGGAAACATCCTCTATACTGTCAAGAACAAACAAGGCTTCAGGAGTTAAATTGGGTTGAAAATATAATCACTACTTCTTATTCAGTCAAATGCATCTAAGAGCTGGCCAAACACATGTAAAGCTAAATAGCCCCTAGATGTAGTCTGATAACAGAAATGGCTGGCCTGTTTTTAAGTAATATGCAAGGTCAAAATGTTCATTATTACTGGCTGTTTACTCAGTCTTACTGTATCTTTTTTATCAATGTCAGCTAGGGGATAGAGGCTCGTGTCTGGGCCTCCTTCCACTCGTGCTAGCCAATATTTATTTAGTGTAGTGTAGTTTCTTAGGCAAAGCCACCATTGTTTGCCATCATTCAGTTTGTTCCCTTCAGCATCAGGCTGTCCTCAAGGTCCCTTTGTCCTTTAAGATTTTATTTCTTTGTTTCTGCTTCGTTATCATGGTGGTTTTTCTGTGGATAATTTTGTTTTAGCTCACCATTGCCACTTTGTATATGAAGAGGCAGCTATGAAAAAGACAAAATGCAACAATCAAAAGGAGGCCTTGTCTCAATTTTTCTCTGCACTTGATAGATTGAACCGTGCCACTGTACATCAGCAGCTGAGGAAGCTCAAAGTCAAAAGAAATTCCAAGTTCATAATGGGGCATTTCCGCCCTGTCATTTTAGGCCTGAGGTGCATATAAAGATGGATTAGTTATTTTTTCTTGTCTGTTTTTAATTGAAAAGGCTGTGGTAAACATGATGTGTAATCGGAGCAGCGAGCTGGTTTGCTGTGCTCTTCCACAACATTCAGTAGGACTGTTTTCTTTGGAGTGTCACTACATAAAGAGGCCCGGGAGCATGAGCCAGTAAAATGGGGTTGTGGGTGGAATATAATTTGGATGGAGAATAATGGAGGGGAAATGTTTATTTTTTGGTTGGGGTTGAAATAGAGACCCAAAAAAATGGAGGGATGGAGGGTGATGAGTCTGAGAGGGGTGTTTTTTTTACTGTGCAGAGGTAGCTATTACTGCATGCCTGTTTTCCATACAGGCTGCAGATCTGGACATTGGAGAACAGTGTGGATCTCTGTGTACCGCTCTCTCCCTCATACTCTTCCCTCTATAAACCTGAATTATAATAATGAGTTTAATTGGGCCTCTAAGCCAGCTGCAATCAGTGAACTTTACAACTGGGCACGATTGCAACCAGCTTGCCGTGTAAATGCTTGAGACGTCATGATAATTATCCATACTCCCCCCGCTTTAGCAGCTACACACATAGATACACCTCACACCCCACCCCACTTAACACAGCAAAGTCTTGATGATAGGTGCCTGTATAGTAGCTTGTACTCGTATCATAAAGCTGACAGTGAGTTCTCCAGGGTTGAGTTGGTTAGAATTCAGCATGATTAAACTGTAACCTCAGAGAAAGTTCTGCCCTTAACCCCTGTAACTGTCCTCAGTCACTATTAATGTTCTGCTCCTCTCCTGAAGCACATGAACACCTGCAAGTGGACACATGTAGGCCTATACCCACATGCATCTTCTATTACTCCTCATCATGGCGCACCTCTGCTGCTCTGTCTTTTTTCTGGCATGAGGCTGATTAAAACAGATTGGTGTGAGCCGGTACACACTAGTATCGATCCTTCCGAATGTAGAGAACACAAGCCTGTCCCTGGAGAGCCGACCCCACTGTTTTCTCAACCCAGTCACGGGTTACACAAAGAACGTGGCCTCTGAGGCAAGCACTGCTGACTGACTGTGCTGTTACCCGAGAGAGAGGGAGAGAAAGAGAGGTTTTTGCGGTGGATGCATGGGTAGTGCCCCAGGTGTAATGCATGTACTCACACCCTCTATTGCCTGTCCACAATCTATTCCGTGTTTTCCTACCAGGGTCGTACCTGAGAGCAGAGCCCAGTCATTGGGTATAATTGAGCCA